AAGGCTACCAATAGCTAAAAGTAGCAAAATGCTAGCTAAACAGAACAAAAGGCTACCAATAGCTAAAAGTAGCAAAATGCTAGCTAAACAGAACAAAAGGCTACAAATAGCTAAAAGTAGCAAAATGCTAGCTAAACAGAACAAAAGGCTTCAATAGCTAAAAGTAGCAAAATGCTAGCTAAACAGAACAAGTCTACAAATAGCTAAAAGTAGCAAAATGCTAGCTAAACAGAACAAGTCTACAAATAGCTAAAAGTAGCAAAATGCTAGCTAAACAGAACAAGTCTACCAATAGCTAAAGGTAGCAAAATGCTAGCTAAACAGAACAAAAGGCTACCAAAAGCTAAAAGTAGCAAAATGCTAGCTAAACAGAACAAAAGGCTACCAATAGCTAAAAGTAGCAAAATGCTAGCTAAACAGAAGAAAAGGCTACCAATAGCTAAAAGTAGCAAAATGCTAGCTAAACAGAAGAAAAGGCTACCAATAGCTAAAAGTAGCAAAATGTTAGCTAAACAGAACAAGTCTACCAATAGCTAAAAGTAGCAAAATGCTAGCTAAACAGAACAAGTCTACCAATTGCTAAAAGTAGCAAAATGCTAGCTAAAAACAAAAATGCTAAATAGAAGTTTAAAGTTAAATGAAACTAATTCCTAATTAAAAGCAAAAAGGTGCAAAACATGAGCTAAAAATGAACAATGCTAACTGAAAAAGAAAACCTGCAGAGTGTCAGCTCARTCCTAAAAGCAGAAAAAATGTTAATTGTTGCAGAAGATTATTGGTAGCTAAAAACAAACAAACAAACAAAAAAGGCAAACTATGAAGTGTAGCAAAACGCTAAAAAGCAATGCAAGACTTATTAGAAGCTAAATGTAGCTAAATGTTTGCTAAAAGCTTCAAGTAGCAGAATTGTACCTAAAAACTAAAAGCAGCTAAACACAAGCAAAAAAATACCTAAAGATATTAAACGCTAAAAGCTAAAATAAACTCCTTTTTAGATAAAAGCCAGAAGGATCTAAATATTTTGTAAAGAAAGCAAAATGCTAACTAAAGACAAAAATGCTAAACAGAAGCTGAAAGTTAAATGAAACTAATTACAAATTAAAAGCAAGAAGGAGCAAAACATGAGCTAAAAAAGAACAATGCTAGCTGTATAACAAAACCTGCAGAATGTCAGCTCAATCCTAAAAGCAGCAAAAATGTTAAATGTAGCAGAAGATTACCAGTAGCTAAATAATAATAATAATAATAATAATAATAAAATAAAAAGGCAAAAGGCAAACTAATACCCAAATGTAACAAAAGTTTAAAAAGCAAATCAAGACTTATTACAGGCTAAATGTAGCACAATGCTAGCTAAAAGCTTAAAGTAGCAGAATTGTACCTAAAGGCTAAAGTAGCTACCGGTAAACAGTAGATAAAAGTTAAACGTAGCATAAGAAAATTAAAACGAAGCCAGCAGCTGAAGCAGATTTTAAAAGAAATGTGTTTTTAAGGAACTGAAGAGATTCTTATTTATTTATATGTGGAAAATAAATAAAAATGAATAAACTGTAAAACTTAAAAACCGTTTCATAAAGTGTAAAACGCTGTAAAACAGAGTGGTCCTGACTCTGCAGCAGCTGCACCTGAACTCATTCAGAGGCAGATCCTCTGATTCATCACGTCAGGTGAGGAGCCGTCCCACGGGAGGAGACAACCAAGCGTGCGTCTGCGGCTGGGGCCTTCGTTAGCCACTCGTTAGCCTGACTGAGTCACTTCGCTCAAAGAACGGATCAGAGAACAATCGAATCAGCGCCGTCCTCGCAGAAAAACTAATATTCTGCTGCATCTGCGAGTGACGAGCAGCAGAACTCAGAGCTGAAGTCTGTCAACATGATGGTTTAAATAAAGTTCAGGTCAAACTGAATCACTTCCTGCTTTGAATCATCAGGTGATTCTTCCACCAGTGACTCAGAACATCATCAGGTGGAAAAAAAGAATCAATTCAGTGACATGAGTCAGCTGAKAAAATATTAAGAAACGCTGCACAGATTAGGAGAGAATGAGCTGTAAAAACACTAAAATATACATGTTAGGAGCAGAGAAACTGAGCTAAAATAAAAAAATATCTATTAAAAAAGTGTCTAAGTTCAGAAATCACAAAAGAAAACTATTCAAATAAATTTATTACAGTGAAAAACATCCACAGCAGTTTTCTGTCCAACAGGATGACACTGTTCTTCTAAAACTAATGAAAATATTCACAATTTATTCATTTAGAAACAAACAGAAATAAGATTTACTAAAATAATAAAGATATTTTAATGACATGGCACATAACGCTTACAATGAATGGGATTAATTTTCAATTCTGCTCCTCCTGTGTACTTTAATATTCATATTTTATATATTTATTAGTATTTAATCAAATTTAAAGCTGATGAGTGGTGAATTTAAAGGCCTGAAATTGTCTAAATATGTTCAACCTAAACTTTTTTTCTTTCACCATTCACTAGTTTAGATCARGACACCATAATATGTTTAATGTTTCTAAATGTAGCTCTTTTTTTTATTTTACAGAAGCTGAAAATATAGGAAAACTTAAAACCCAATCCTGAGAAAGAATCAAAGAAAATCCTTAAAAACGGAACAAAGAGACTTTTCATAAAAAATGAAACCAGGTGTTTTTCCTGGTGTCGACCCTTCAGCAGCCTGACATGTCTTTRGTTTTGTTGCGTCGCTGGAAGCGCGTGTCTTCAGGGTCGAAGCCCTGCTCCTGAGCCCCGAACAGAGCCCAGCCGGGGGTCTTGGCCATGTAGTCCAGAGCTGAGAAGCTCCGCTGCCCCCCGCTGTCCTCGTGGGCCYGAACCAGCTCCTGGAACCGCTCGTAGTCGATCCAGGTCCACCACTCACCGTTCACCCTGAACTGAAACAAACAGATGAGTTCTTTATTCATTTTGTTACATGAGCTGTAGCTCCCGACACCAAAAGTTAAAAATATTGGGGTGTAAAACATGAAAAAAAAAAATAACTCGATTCACAGACTTGTAAACCTGTCAATGATGAAACTAGGAAATATATAATATATTTTTTTTTATTCTATGGCAGAAAAACATCTTTAAAGTTGCTCCAGGTCCGTGTAAAAACTAAAAGTGAAGCAGTTCTTCTAAAACCAGGGAGGGGAGCAGAAATGTCAGACTGACCCAGTTCAAACAGTTCCTGCTGACTTGTCTGTGTCGGGTCAGAAACTTTCTGCTACAAATGAAGTGAAGTCACTGCTGAACATGTTCAACAGTTCAGGCTCTCCTCTGGTCCACCTGATCAAATCCTTTAAAGTTCTGAGATTATTCCTGCTTCAACACCTGAAACACACAGTGTTCAACGGTTGTGTTGAACCATCAGCAGTTGTGTTGTTGTACCTCAAAACACATCTGTTTGTTGTCCTCATTTCTATGTTCCCCCCCCCACAACCCTGTCAGTCCATGGTCAGTCCATGACCAGTCCATGATCAGTCCATGATCAGACCATGATCAGTCCATGACCAGTCCATGACCAGTCCATGGTCAGTCCATGATCAGACCATGATCAGACCATGATCAGTCCATGACCAGTCCATGACCAGTCCATGACCAGTCCATGGTCAGTCCATGATCAGACCATGATCAGACCATGATCAGTCCAAGATCAGTCCATGACCAGTCCATGGTCAGTCCATGACCAGTCCATGGTCAGTCCATGATCAGTCCACGGTCAGTCCACGATCAGACCATGATCAGACCATGACCAGAACATGACCAGTCCATGACCAGAACATGACCAGTCCATGATCAGACCATGATCAGACCATGATCAGACCATGATCAGACCATGATCAGTCCACGGTCAGTCCGCGGTCAGTCCACGGTCAGTCCGCGGTCAGTCCACGATCAGTCCACGATCAGTCCACGATCAGTCCACGATCAGACCATGACCAGTCCATGACCAGTCCATGATCGGTCCATGGTCGGTCCATGATCGGTCCATGATCGGTCCATGATCAGACCATGACCAGTCCATGGTCAGTCCATGGTCAGTCCATGGATCTGTACTTGTTTATTTTCTGTTGTACAGAGTCCTTGGTGTCCTGAAAGGCACTTTATAAATAAAATGCATTATTATTAATATTATTATTATTACCAGAGAGAACATGAGGGGCACCAGAGGGCACATGGGGGGTACCAGAGAGCACATGAGGGGCACCAGAGGGCACATGGGGGGTACCAGAGAGCACATGAGGGGCACCAGAGGGCACATGGGGGGTACCAGAGAGCACATGAGGGGCACCAGAGGGCACATGGGGGGTACCAGAGAGCACATGAGGGGCACCAGAGAGCATATGAGGGGCACCAGAGAGCACATGAGGGGCACCAGAGGGTACATGAGGGCCACCAGAGAGCACATGAGGGGCACCAGGGGGCACCAGAGGGCACATTCATAGAAGGTGACCTATGACTTATTATGGTCAAAGGTTTTCTCTTGCTAATGTTCCAAAGTGGGGCAACTTAGTTTTATGGCACCAGGTGGTCTCCCATCCAAGTACTAACCGAGCCCAGCCCTGCTTATCTTCTGACATCAGATCTGGYGTGTACAGGGTGGTATGTCCATTTAATCAAAAAACTATATATTGATGTTTTTGACTTTAGTGCTTTACATAGTATTTGCTGATTTAGATTCAGTACAGCTTCAGTTATAAAAGATTAAATGTTATTTGATCTTGTTTAGAGTAGATGAAAAGAGGTTGGGAACCACTGGTTTAGAGTAAGGATATAAAAATGACAGTTTTATTTTTAACAACAGTAAGTAATAAAGAGTCAGCGTGTGTTCATGAAGGACTAACACTTATTTGCAGAGTTAAAGAGCTTCCTGCTGGAGACGCCTCACTGTGGAGCCTCGACTGTTACATGTTTCTACAGGAGAGCTTCCTGCCGCATCACTAATGAGGCCGTGAACGTAGCGCCTGTTGGGAATTAATGTTTCTGGTAATGAGAGAGGATTATATTTACTCAGCCGGCCTCCTGGATAACAGAGCTGTTGTGCAGTGAAACAAAACAAAACAAGGCTGTGCAGTAAAATACTCAGCTTCATATTCGACCCTGGTGAGCGGACGTCTTACCTTGGTGTGTGCGATGAGCAGACAGTTGGAGTGCTCGTGCTCGCAGGCCATCTCGTACTGAGGCAGCATGTCGGCCAGCTGCTGGACGAAGGCGACCACCTCCTGGTGCCAGGGAACGTTGGCCATGGTCAGGCTGCTGGCAGAGCTCTCCCCGCAGTAAGTCACACCCTGAACACACGCACACAACAAAAACACGCAATGACAAAGTATTTGTGTTGGTAAATGAACGAAGGTCACGTTTAGGCAGCCCGTTTCTGCAAACTGTAAAACCTGTTGGGTCGTTTTGACCCAAGGGCAGCAGGAGGATTAAAAAACGACAAAACCTGATGTGACTTCTGTACAGTGCCTGTCTGGCCACAAGATCAATATTATGTGTCCACAAGGTAAATAATGTGTGGCCACCAGATAAAAAAATACATGGCCGGGAAATAAATAAGCTGTGGCCATGAGATAAATAATGGGGCCACAAGATGAATAACACACAGCCCCAAGATAAATAATGTGCGGCTATGAGAGAAATGATGTGTGGCCACGATTTAAAGAATGATTGGCCACAAGATAAATATCACGTGGCAAGGAGCTAAATAATGAATGGCCTAGAGATACATAGTGGGTGGCCACAAGTGGTCACAAGCTAAATAATACATGGCTAGAAGAGAAACACCCTGCTGCCACAAAGTTAATAACCTGTGGCCATGACATGAGCAATGTGTGGCCACAAGCTATATAATGTGTGTTCACAAGATAATGTAGTGCCATTAGACAGATAACATGCAGCCATGAGCTAAATATCGAGTGGCCACAAGATAATGAGTGGTCATTAGATAGATGATGTGTTTCCACAAGCCAAATAATGTGTGGCCATGAACTAAATAATGTGTGGCCACGAGAAAATGCATTGCCGCAAGCTAAATATTGCATGGCAACAAGATGAATAATGCACCGTTGCAAGGTAAATCTGTGGCCACAAGATAATGCGTGGTCATTAGATGAATGATGAGTTGCCACAAGCTAAATATTGCGTGGTCATGAACTAAAAAATGTGTGGCCATGAACTAAATAATGTGTGGCCACAAGATAATGCGTGGTCATTAGATGAATGATGAGTTGCCACAAGCTAAATATTGNACTAAAAAATGTGTGGCCATGAACTAAATAATGTGTGGCCACAAGATAATGCGTGGTCATTAGATGAATGATGAGTTGCCACAAGCTAAATATTGTGTGGCCATGAACTAAATATTGTGTGGCCATGAATTAAATAATGTGTGGCCATGAACTAAATAATGTGTGGCCATGAACTAAATAATGTGTGGCCACAAGAAAATGCATTGCCACAAGCTAAAAATTGCATGGCAACAAGATGAATAATGCAACGTCAAGGTAAATCTGCGGCCACAAGATAATGCGTGGTCATTAGATAAATGATGTGTGACCACAAGCTAAATAAGCAATGTTCACAAGATAATGTTTTGCCATGAGCTAAATAATGAGTGACCACAAGACAATGCGTGGTCATTAGATAAATGATGAGTTGCCACAAGCTAAATATTGTGTGGTCATGAACTAAATAATGTGTGGCCACAAGCTAAATAACATGGCCATAAGATCATTTTAAGCAGCTGTGTGTCTGTGTGAGATATTGGGGTCAGATTATTGCCATATGAAAATGTTTTTGTGTTTAACTGTCTTCCTCACACTTAATATTATCATTATTTGGTGTTTTTAATCTAAACGAACGGTTCTTCTTTCATATTAGGCTATTTATGAGATGGTAAACACCTCAGGTATGTGTCGGAAAATTAATATTTTTACTGTGTTCCTGAACAAAACTCTGGTTCCTTCTGCAGCCAAATCACAGAGTGAGAGAGAAGCCTGTTGGACAAACAACTCCAGTTGTCAGCTTTGTCTTACAGCTGCAACRTTTAATGCTAAGAATTACTTCATGGCTAACATAAGAGACTGAATAATGTCACAGATTCCATATAATTAAAACTAATTAATTCAACCTTGTCCATGTAAACAATCACCAGTCTCTGTATGGAAACTGGCCACAAAATAACGCGTGGCCACGAGATAACTTGTTTTTAATCCAGTGTGACCGGCCGGGCTCCAAACTTCTGGGTTCATTCTGTTCTATAAACAATCGCACATCCAGGAAAGACTAAAATATCACAGCACTCATATCAAAACCACTGAAATCTGATGGTCAAGATCAATAATCCAAATATACCAAAAGATCGCTCCACTCGGGAGTATTTTCTTCCTCCTGTGTGTCAGATTAAACAACAGGAAGTCTAACTGGACGCTTTCTTCCACTGTTTGTCTGTTTAAGGAGCAGAGTTTACATTTATCCAAGCTGCTGCTGAATATCTGACTCTGTAATCGGATCATTTACCTCAGGGCTGCTTGTGAATCTGCTGCACAGAGAAAGTAAAAACAAACAGAGTGACCTGCATCGTTAGGTGTTGAGTGTTTTTTGAGGTAACACAGAGCCGATGGATGACCTTGGACTCATCAGCCCTGCCTGAATAAAAATCAACCTTCCAGGACTCCGTATAAATCACCAAACATGAGAACGGCACCACAGGAGAGGAAAAAAAAAAAAAGGTATTTCAGATATACAGAAGAAATTTATGTTCTGTATCGATCGAGGAAGTGTCTGAGAGACGATGCAAAAGAATAAAAGCCCCTCACCTCTTCAAATAATCGATGTCTTCCACCTATAATGGAAACTGTAAATATTGATGGCTGAAGCCCCACACAGCGTGTCACACACACCTGTGTTTATCTGAGCAKGTTTACAGCCCTGGTCAAATCTCTTCACTTCCTCTGTTCACTCACCTCCTGCAGCAGGCAGGCGGTCCTGATGCTGAACGGAGACGATAAATCTGATCTACTGCACAGGAAGGAAGTGTTGCATCATGTGGGCTGATAAAGGCTGCGATGTATCGTTTGAGCATCAACATCTTGATGTACGTGTGTCACACTGCAGGTCCTCCATGTTGGAGGCTAATTAAAACTATCTTGGGACTAAACCACTAAACGGTCGCGTGTTACAGCTTTTATTTTGACAGGCTGATTCGTGTAAAAAAAAGGCAAAAACTTTCATTTTTTTTGCGAAACTTCTAGGACGATATTGGCAACGTTTTCTAAGAAGTGCTGTCGGTGAATTCTCGAGCTGAGGAGGAAGACAAGGATATTTAAAATGAGGAAGATGAGGTAAAAGAGGTTAAAAAGTGTAATATTAAAGGAAACAGAAATAAAGTCACAGAGGCAACGTTAGTAGGGGTGTAAGAAAATATCGATACACTGAAATATCGCGATATTTCATTTCCCGATACTGTATCGATATTCTAAAGCCCTGTATCGATTTTTTTATTAAGTTTTAAAATGTCAACTTTCCTGCATGCCGTTCATTTTTATGTTGTAGTTCAGTCTCTGACCACTAGTTGGCAGCAGTGAGCCAGACATTTGGCTCCTCTACCTCTTGAGGTAGAGGCTATTGTTAAGTGTTGGGTGACCATATTGTAAATTAATATTAAAAACTAAAAGCTGCAAAAAATATATTTTCAAACTATTTATTGTCAAATTTAGTCTAATAATTGAAAACATGGATGAAATAAGAAATATGAAACAAATAAAATAAAACGCATACAAAGCAGAACACAGCTAAATGTATTAAAAGTATGTCTATGTGATATTGGAATTATGGTTTTTCATTTTTTTTTTACTGTAAGAGGTTTTTATTTAATAGAACTTTTGGACAAAAAAAATCGCAATATATCGCAATATATCGCCTTGCTTACAGTATCGCAATATATCGGGATATATCGTATCGTGACCCCTCTGTCATGATATGCATCGTATCATCAAATTCTTGCCAAAACACAGCCCTAAACGTTAGGGGGTTAAATTCACATTTGCACACGACAGAAGGAAACATACTGCACAATTAATAAATAAAAATTGTGTCCCTGATGAAGCTGGACCATAGAGTTGAACAACACTAGAGTGAGCCCCACCTATCCCATCCACTGTTAGCATCTATGTCAACATAGAGGAGCAGAAATCTGACACCAAACTAGAGAAGCAAACAATTAAATCGACTTATGATTGTTTAAAAATGTTTTATTAGTTTAAAATCTGTTCCAATAGATTAACTGATAACGTCCACATCACATGGCCAGTTTAAATCGCTCCAGCAGGAAGGATCCGCCCTCTGAGGCTCTGTTTCTATTTGAGTCAAAAACAGAGACTTCAAACTTTAAACCAGTTATTGAATTGTGTTGTTAGGCCAAGTAGGAGTTATAATAAATAATCTACACCGCATTTTATTTTCTTAAAATGACGGTTTGATGTGCATCGAGTTGTGTTGTGAGCCGAAATGATTTCATTTATTTATTTATTTAAAAGGACAATGCACATCAATTAATATTCTGAGTATAAATGCGCCAGAATTAGCACAACCGCTAAATTTCATCTCTAGCAGATAAAAAAGTTCAACAGTTCATAAAACAAGTGCACAAAATTCAACACTGCCCAACAAACACACAACTCCTCAGTCTACAAGGTCTACAGTTAAATTATGTTAAAGGTGAACGCATGACCGATTTTCTTTCAGCCAAACTTTAAGTTTCTTTTAAAAATGGAATAACTGTCACCGTCTCTGATAAGTTCTAGTTCCTCTGATAGATGTGACCTTTCCTGTTTTACAACAACACAATCCCCTCTAGTTTGAGACCTAGTGTTATTCTGGATGCATACTTGTAAATAAAATCATTTAAAGGTGGAGGAGCATTTAAGATCCTAAAATCAAAACTTAAATCACTGAATCTTTGATCATTTTCGAAGTCCAAGATCTTGTATTTATCAATCATATTTTATGCTTTTCATCTGATTAAACCCATTCAGCAGCCTATTAATTTCTGTTTTGTTTTATAAAAATGTCCAGAAATCCACATTTTGTTGTTTATCCATCCATACATCCATCCATCCATCCATCCATCGTCTTCGGCTTTATCCAAGTAGGGTTGTGTAGGGATAAAATCTACTTTTCTCATAACAAAAGTTATGAGGAAATTCACGGGTTCTTCTGTTTAAGGAAAAAACAACCCCTCTGTAAATATGGGACCACACAATAAGTGAACGTGAGACAGTGACTTTAGTTGATCTAATAATAAACGAGATCATTTATTTAC